CACGTTTCATCTTACCTCCAGCCCTTACTTGCCCATTGAGCATTTGTTTAACCTATGGGAGCTTCAGTTTCCCATCTGAGGATGCAGTCCAGGCCCCCTGGTGATTCTTTGTACCAGCTCAATGAGCTAATGGCTGTAGAGTCCTATAGTGTTAGCAGTTTACATTTTGTTGTTTATTTGAAAGTGCCTCTTCCTTGCAGCTTTTCCCCGTGTCCTAAGGTGACAGTCCCTCATGTCAAGATGAGGTTAAATGTGCTGATGCCTCCCCTTTGCTTGATCAGTGGTGCCCTTCAGGCCAGTGCTCTCCCACCCTCATGGGAGAGGCTGAGGGAAGGACATGGGTCTGTCTGTCCCCTCAGAAAGCAATGACTCTGGCCTATCATTAATTCCATTATTTTAATAGTTGTTTAATTAGTTCTATGATTTAATTATCCTTCAGTTTAGCCGTATTTCTTTGGTTTTATTCTTCCAGGATGTCTTTTTCCTTATCCTTTCTGCATAGCTCGGAAGGACGTGTAGCATGACTGTGAAAGGGCATCTCTCACCCCCTATGTGGCTTTGGTCCCTCTGGCCTGCGCTAGCACCTCCTGAAGGCCCTATGTCCATGCTGCTCAAGCATCACCCCCTCAGCCCAGAAGGAGGTCCCCTCCTCCAAGTTCCCCTATACAACTTCTATCGGGAAGACGTTTCTGGACCTCCCTATCAGCCACCTGCCCCCCAAAGATTCTCCTCCTGTCTCGTCTACACCCATGTATTGAGGGCCCCTTTCTGTTGTCTTGGGACCAGTGTGTGCCCAGGAGGCCCTAGCTGATGTCACAGTCTCACAGGGACTCTCGGATGATCTGTTATTACAGAGCAGTCAGGAAGAGGGAGCAGCTGAGAGCGTCCTCTAGCCTGAGTACAGGGGCCTGCCCACATGTATCAATTGTCATCGAGTCGACCATGACGCATGGCGATTCCATGTGTGTCAGAGTATAACTGTGCTCCATAGGCTTTCGATTGCTGATTTTTTGGAAGTAGATCGCAAGACTTTTCTGAGGCATTTCTGGGTACACATGAACCTCCAGCCTTTTGATTAGCAGCTGAGCATGTTAACCAGTTGCACCACCCAGGACCTACCCACATATAGACTCTGACGTTATTGGGATGGTGAATCCTGTTGCTAGTGAATTACTTCTCCCCTTTTCCCATGCTGTTCAAAATAGTGACGCAAGGGAAAGCTGAAAACATCAACTCTTTGTGTCATTTTAAGATAAGCCCTGAACGTAGAGTGCAGTTCAGTTTGGCTGCAGTTGATTAAAGACCATCTTGTGCAGGGTTCCCTGCTGAGGCTGCAGAGGAGCAGGAGGAGACGAGAACCCAGCTCACCAGTACTCGAAGTTCACGGTGAGCAGCGTAGAAGAGACCCATGGGAAGTCAGGAGAGGTGCCAGGAAGGAAAGTAAAATAGGCTGCAAGGAGGAGGTGGCCTCAAGGGTGCCAGAGGGCTTGGGGTGTGGAATGAGGAAGATGGGGCAGTGAGTTTGATGGGGGATGAAAGGGGACTTGTCTATGAGAAAAAAAGATGGATAAACAGAGCTGGGGAGGGAGGCACATTGAGGTTGTCTCTGATATCCTGTGGACAGCCCCTCCCAGGTCTGCTTTCTGCTGGATCCAGAAGTTCTTTCATGTCACATTTAGTCTCTTCTCCAGCTGCCCGCTGTCAGGCGTACAAGGTAGTCAGTATATGTGGATCAGTCAGACGTAAATCTGGAGAAACCAATTGATGAAGATGGATGAATCTGAAGTTAAAACGAAGCTTCATGATAACTCTGGAAATTGATTATACACCATGAACAAATCTCAGTCCATGCTCTAAGGTGTGTAGGAAACATAGCTTCCTGTATCCTGTAGAAATCAGCCTAATTTGAATTTTTGAACTCCCTTCCAGTAGGAGTTGGATTCCCAATCAGTTCAAGAGTTTTCACACTACCTTCCTCAAGTCTACGTCTAAGTTCTGGGAGGACGCATGTGGTCCTTGGGACATCTGGCCACACAGGATCTACTGTGTCACCAGCCCCTTCTCATTCCCAGTCATGAGCACCCACCTGTTGCCATGGAGATGTCCCTCTTGCTGGTTCTTGTGGCCTCCAGGGTCAGCCCCTCTCTGCTCCTTGCACGCTGTGCTATGTGGCACAGGAACCCATTCCTTTACCCATTCAACAAGTATTTTGTGTCAGACAAGTCATTCTGTCCTGAGCCCAGGGCTCTGGTGAGGCTGTGTGGCACCATCTGCCTGAACACACTGGACAATCATTTCTCTGAGGCCTGCTGCCCCCTGGGCTCTAGGCAGCAAACAAAACACGAGCACCCTCTGTTTGCTCCGAGAGCACATAAACCACCTAGAGATTTTGCATTTCTTCTGAGTTTCATTTGAAATCAGAACTGAGAGTCCCTCTCTCTAGGGCAGCCAGCACCAATAGTCTCCTAAGGCCTTCTACGCCCAAGTAAGGGAATAGTTTTCTGGTGTGTAAGAGGTAGGCGTAGAGGTCAGAGGGGATCCTTGCCTCCTACTCAGGATGTTTTTCCAAAGCAGTTGTGTTGACCAGGGTTTGGCAAACTACAACCCACAGGCCAAATCTGGCTCACTGCCTAGTGTTGTAAATAAAGTTTTATTCAAACAGAGTCATGCTTTACATGTTGTCTGTGGCTGCTTTAGTGCTATAACAGCACAGCCAAGTAGTTGCAACAGAGAACGTAAGGCCTGCAAAGCCTGAAATATTCACTACCTGACCCCTTACAGAAAACGTTTTTTGACCCCTGGTCTTCCACCTTTTGCTGCTGTATCTCTTCCCAGAGGCACTGATCACGGGATGGCCTCATTGCCTGAACACGAAAAATGGCCGAGGGGGAAAGAGAAGTACTGAAGAGGAAATTGGTTAGTGTGTCAAAAATATTATCCTGCCAACCAAACCAGTTGCTGTCTAGTCGACTCTGATTCATGGTGACCCCATGTGTGTCAGAGTAGAACTGTGCTCTGTAAGGCTTTCAGTGACTGATTTTTCAGTAGATTACCAGGCATTTCTTCCAAGGTCCCTCTGGGTGGGCTCCAGCCTCCAACCTTTCAGTTAGCAGCCGAGTGTGTTAACTATTTGCACCTCCCAAGGAGTCCTGCCAACAGGTGGGTTCCATTTGTGAAAACTTACTGGACAGAATAGCTGTGATTTGTGCCCTTTCCTCTCAAATGCTGTACCTCAGTAAAAAGTTCAGGGAAAACAAACAAAAAATGCTACTTCCTCCATCGTCATGATCTTGGCATCATGGAGCTGACAGAGATCATAGAGCTGGCTGAGGTCAGAGTTCTTTGAGGACACACTGGGGCCTTTTGGAAGAGCTAGGAGAGCCTCGACTTGGACCAGCCCAAACCGTGGTCCTGCCATCCCCCTCAGTGCCCGTTACAAATGCGGATTCTGCCAGTGAACACAAACTTCATGGGTTTCCAGAATTGCTTAGAACCACAATATATGCCCAGCCCATTTGGACACACTGACTCCACATGGCCTCACTCTTGCCCAGGGAAAAAGGCAGAGCTGCAATCTAACTGGTCTCCACTCCGGCTGCGCAAGCTCAAAATAACGTAGAGTCATTTATGCCAACCCCAGAAGAACGGAAGAACATGGCTGCTACGTGGTCTCACAGGGCAGATGTTTCAGATATTAAGTAACCTAAACTTTAGAGATAATAACCAGCTTGTTTCTTTAAGTTTGTGTGTAACTAACAGCCCTATATTCCAGACAAGCTAGCATCTAGCTGTTTAGAAACCTAGTCTTCAGGCACTGACCCCTCAGAACTGTGTCATTGTCTTCTTAGCCAAACACAATTCTGAGGAAGGAGGGATTTCAAGAGACATTTTGATGAATACCTGAAAGACTCATCAAAACCGCTTGGACTTGCCTGGCTTCTTTATTCCTTGGACTGTAAAAACTCCATACTGCCTCATCTTAGGTGCAACACCCAGTCTCATACTGTGTGTTGTCCAATTCGCAAATCATATAATCGACCAATCTCTAACATTATTTTAACTTTGTTTCGACTCTTAAAAATTATTCAACAACTCCAAAGACCATGAATAAGGGAGTTAATAATTCTGAGTCTTTTCATGATAAAGTAATTGAGAGCTATTTATGTACTCCTTCTGAAATTTAGTGACCTCTGGAGTCTACTTTGTTCTTGTTAGTTACTGTCGAGCTGGCTGTAACTCATAGAGACCACAAAACGAAACGCTGCCTGGTGCTGTGCCATCTTCATGATCGTTGGCGTGCTCAAGTCCATTGATGCGGCCACGGTATATTTTGAGTGCCTTCCAACCTAGGGGGCTCATCTTCCTGCACTGTATCGGACAATCTAATGTTGTGATCGTTACAGTTTACATTGGTTAAATTTTAGAAGTAGATCACCAGGCCTTTTCTTTCTAGCCTGTCTTAGCCTGGAAGCTCTGCTGAAACCTGTCCACCATGCGTGACCCTGCTGGTATTTGAAATACCAGTGGCATAGCTTTCAGCATCACAGCAACACAAAAGCCACCACAGTATGACAAACTGACAGATTGGTGGTGAGGAATATACTTAAGAGTCATTTAAACATCTTCATTTCATAGAAGACCCCTCCCCACACACAAAAAAGCACCAGAAATCCCCCTGGGGATGTTTAGTGGTACAGATGGCCAAGTTCTAAGCTCAGATGAAAAGCACGATTTGTGGACCCCGCTGAACGGACACTTAACTGTATCCCATTTCCAGACCTTGGTTTGCGATTCCTGGGTTCATCATTCTGACGGTTCAGTTACTGTACTGTCAGTGTGAGTCTCGGGTGGCTGAGGTAGGTTCTGTCTCAAGAGCAGAGGGGGGTGCCTTAGAAACCTTGCCCCAGCCCCTGCCCTTCCTGGCCAGAGAGGAAAAAACGGAACACCCTACTATTTCTGCATCACTGTCTGGCTAATGCCCGCCCTTTTCTTCCTTCTAGCCCTGGGCCTGGAGGCACACACTGCCTGGGGGCCAGCGTGGAGCACACAGCCTGCGAGAACCTGCCCTGCCCCAAGGGCCTGCCCAGCTTCCGGGACCAGCAGTGCCAGACCCATGACCGGCTGAGCAGCAAGAGGAAGGGCCTGCTGACTGCAGTGGTGGTTGATGGTAAAGGCATATATCCTCCCTCCCTTCTCCCCCAGGAACTTAACTACCTCCAGAAAAACTCAAAGGGTACCTCCCCATTCACCCAAAAGGAACAGGACCCTCCAGGCCTCCTGCCCAAGTCAACCATGGACTGACGGTGGGCTTGAACTTGGATGACCCAGCTCTCTGAAGTTTCCCCGAGGGAGGCAGGGAGCAGACCAGATTCGTCCCATGCTCTCCCCTCCCCCCATTTTCAGAAAGGTGTGTACACTGACAGCCTGTCCCCCGGGCACCTTGTGCTGAGGGGCCCAGGACAAATGTTGACAAGCACGAGGCTCTGCAAAAGCAGGACAATTGGATGTGTCTATCGGTTGTTTAACTTTGCTGTGTTGATGCTTTCTTGCATTTTTTTCTTGGCCCATTTTGGATTTGCTCTTGCTCCTTCACTGAGGTGTTTGGGGAAATGTCGGGACCAGTTTACACTTTGGGGAAGATGATAAGTGTGGGTCACATTTTCTTTCCAGGAGTTTCCTCCCAAATCAAAAGACTGCCCTATTGAGCAGCTGCAGACATTTCCAATGGCTGACACATGCTAGGTGGTCTGTTAGGTACATGCAGGGTTTGTGATGTTTACATATTGGAGATAAGGACTCCCCAAGACCTAATTCAGGGTTTTTTACATCTAAAATTCTGTTCATCTCCAGGAAATGAGAGTTTGTGCTGTAAATGGGATAAGCAGGAGCTTGCTCCTGTTTATCGAGCATACCATGGACCAGGCACTGGGTTAGGTTAGTGCTGCATTCATTATCTCAGCTAATATACAAAACAAGCTGTGCTCTGAGCCTCAGAGAGGTCACAGGACATGTCCACACTCAGGCAGCTGATAAGGGCCGGAGGAGGGAGGGAGCCGACCCAGGTCCCAGTGGAGCTAAGTTGACTCACAGAAAATAACCAGCTATTATCTGACTTTCAGTACTGGAGTAAGACAGGAAGCACGACTTCATGCAGGGTGAGGGAGCTTTAATAAGGACAGAAGTGACTGGTCTGCATTTTAGACCTCCTCTAAAGCATTTTTCAGGAGAGTGACACTCTTGTACCGGATCTTCAGTTTCTTCCCTGTGATCAGTTTTTATTTTGGTAGCTCAGAGAAGAACTACTGGAATCTGCGTTCTGCCCTGTGCTATCACAGCTCATGAGTGCACAACTGGACGAGGCTAGGGGCAGGCATCACGGCCTCAGACCCACAGCTTTTTAACCAGCACTTTGAGCCATGAGCTTTGACCTGACTTGTAAAATGATACTCTACATAGATAAGTAGATAGGTAGGTAGATAGCTAGAAAGCTAGCTAGCTAGATAACAGAAAAACAAACCCGTTGCCGTCAAGTTGATTCCGACTCATAGCGCCCCTATAGGACAGAGGAGAACTGCCGCATAGAGTTTCCAAGGAGCACCTGGTGGATTTGAACTGCGGGACCTTTTGATTAGCAGATGTAGCTCTTAACCACTATGCCACCAGGGTATCTAGAGAGCTGGATAGTTGCCATCAAGTCTACTCCTACTCATGGCAAAGCTTATGTAAAACACAACAAAACGTTGCCCGGTCCTGTGTCATCTTCACCATCAACAGCATGTTCGAGTCCATCATTGGACCCCCACTGAGGGTCTCCCTCACCTTTGTTGGCCTCTATTTCACCAAACATAATCTCCTCCAGTGAGTGATGCCTCGTGATGACATGTCCAAACCAAGTGAGCCAGACAACATTCTGTTGTGATCCATAAGGTTTACATTGGCTAATTTTCAGAAGTAGATCACCAGACCTTTCTTCCTAGTCTGTCTTAATCTCAAAGCTCTACTGAATCTTGTCCACCATGGGTGACCCTGCTGGTATTTGAAATACCAGTGGCATAGCTTCTAGCATAACAGCAACACGCAAGCCATCACAGTACTACAGACTGAGAGATGGGTGGAGGATGTTCTAGATAGTAACAGATAATACCCATCCATGTCACTGGGGACTCATTTAAAGAGTTGGGATGCTCCCGAGACCTTTTACTTTCAAAAAAAAGTAGAAGAAGAACACCTTTGGCAGCTGTGTGATGGCAGCTATGCTGTTGCTTAACTAGCCAACTTGGGGAGAGAGGCAGCCCTCACACCCTGGGCTTGTCCTGCAGAGACGGATGTGAGCTGCTGAAAGCACATGCTCGCGCGCAGCCCTCTCCTCTCTCTGTCCGGTCACTAGTCTAAGGCAGGGGGGACATCTCAGCACATCCAGCCCTCAACAGGAAGGGATAGTCCCAGCAAGCACTGCTGTCTTCCCAGCACCACAGTGGGTTTAAATGAGAAGAGGCACTGTTCTGAACCTCCAACCATCCCTGGAACACCAGATAAAGATGTTTCTAGATCCTCTCTTGCATCCTCTCCCATTTTGCAGGAACAAGAAGAGGTCAGGCCTCAGACAGACTCACCCCGTTTTTGTTTCCACTCAACTATGTGCACCAATTTGTTGTTATTCTTTCCTTGGTCATTTGCTTCAGTTCTAAATTCTCCTGCCTCATTGATTCAGTGCAGAAATCCCGTTTAAATGTCTGTTTTTCCACTGATTTCTCCAAGCCCAGATTAAACTTCTATTTTACTTTCCAACCGCTTTTGGATCGCCGAGCTCCTCAGTTCCCTTATCATCACAGTGACTGAAATTGTGTCTGCCCAGACCCTTCATCCAGGAAGCCCCACCAGGAAGCTGTTTGGGGAGCTTGTTGGGTTCATGGTGTCTTTTTACCCACTCGCCTTTTGTTTCTTTCTGCCCAAGCAATCAATAATTATAGCCAGGGTGCCACCGCCTTTGATCTGAAAAAGTGCAACCTTAGTTAGAAAGACAGCGAGAGGGCAGCACATATTTTGCCTTTGAAGGAAAGAGCCCAAGTTCATATGTGGTTGCATTTCTCTCTCAAATATACACAGAAGCCAGCAATTTTTAAAGGTTCATTTCACAAGGGTAAAAACAAAAAAATCAATGGCCGATTCAGAAGGCAGGGGGAAGTGGGGACTACAGACTGTAACTGTCCCTCTGAAAACCTCATTTATAAAGGCACTATTAGAGCTCAGCCCCGATAGGAACGATTCCTGTGGTTGGGCTCCAGGCTCTTCTCAAACCCATTATCACTGCCCTATTCATAGCATTGCTATCACTGCAGAATTCTTCGGCTAGTGACGCACAGTCAAAAAAAAGGGGAGCTATATTTTTTTCTTTTTTCTCTTATTAAAAATTTAAAAAAGAATTCTTGCAGAGGTAGATTTTCCAAGGGAGGACTCAGGACCACAAATCCATACCACCTCCAGAAAGAAGACAAAGACTCTCCTTAGAAAATATTTCTGAGTGGAAAAGCCTTTAGACAGAAATCCATTTAGATGGCTAGCTGCCAAACCCACTCCATTTCTCCTTTCTCCATGGCATCTTGTTTAAATGGAAACCTTCAAGAGTTCAGGCCTCCCTGCCCAGGCCAGCAGGCCACAAGCCCACACAAGTGTCAGAGAGCTTGATGGAGGCCAGTACTGGATGCGGCGATGCATCCCCTGGGACAGTGGAAAGGGAGGGGCCCCTGAGGTGGGGGAGTCTAGGTCTCAGGCTCCAGGGAAGGAGGATGCGACGGTCAGAACTCTCTGGTTCCAAGTCAGCCAAGCTGGTGGAGTTGCTTCATGAACTAGAGGGAATTTGTTACAAAGATTCACGGTGTCCCATGGGACCCAAGGGCCAGGATGAAGGTGGCCACGTGAGGATCTGGGTCCTTGGCCTCGGAAACTGTCAGGATCTTCCCTCCACTTCCACACAGCATGTGTTCCTGAGTCTCTTGCTCCTGCCCCCTCTGAAAATTGGCCTTCTCACAACTTGTCCACATGAGGGCCAGTTCAGCAGCACCCCAACACCTCTCACCAAGTCCACAGTCTCTCATCAGATCCTTTAGGGCCAAGTATTTTTCAGGATTCGAGGCATTTAGGTGTTAGAAACATCTGTCAGTGGAAGCTTACATGTTGCTATGAAGCTGAACAGGTTTCCGTGGAGCTTCCAGACTAAGACAGACTACAAAGAAGGGATGGCAGTCTACTTCCAAAAATCAGCCAGCAAAAACCCTGTGAATCACAATAGTCTGATCCACAGACAATCATGGGGTTGGCACGGGACCGAGCAGCATATGTTCCGTTGTACATGGGGTCACCATGAGTTGAAGACCAACTCAACGTCAGCTAACAACAACAAGAGGTGTTAGAAAGATAACAATAGTGCATCAACCATCTATCACCTAACACCCCCAGTGGGGTCCAGGGCAGCACGCCACATCAGATGCACCGGCGTCTCTGCCAGGTCACCTACGACTAGTCCCACGAGGTGGGACACTAAAGACTACCAAGAGCCACATTCAGTCAGAGCTGCTTGTGCTGCCAGATGTGTTTGCCACAAGTGTAAGAAAACATTCTCAGAGCTTTTTGGATTTCTGAATTGTGGATAGGCAAATGTAGCCTTGTGATCTGCCAACCATAAGCAGACATGACCTATCCATATCTGGATTTCAGTACTGAGTTTCCAGGAGAGACTCTCATTGGTCCAGATACAGTCAGGTGGCCCTTGCTGGTCCAATCAGCTGAGCCTGGCACCTCTTTCCACGCCTGGCTCTGAGGTCATGGCGGGTAGCTCTGGGGTTAGGGGGCTGAGCCGCCTCCTTGACACATACCTGCAGAGGGCTGAGAGGGACTTGGATGAGTCCTTGTGATGGCCTCAAACTTAAATGATGTCTCCACCTTGTAAGACCTTGTGCTTGTCAGCAGACAGGGCAGCCAGAGCATTAGGAGCTGGAAGTATCCTCTTTATGGTAGAGCACAAGGAGGAATTCTGTGGGCTCACGTGATCATGTGGCTCATGAGCCTCTGAGCCTGTCTCGTGGCCCTATCTGTGGCTCCCCCACTAAAGCATAAGTCCTGACAATAGGCTGGCCAATAAGACTCCAGGACTCACCACAGATCGTCTAG